ACACACCCACCTGTGGTGTCCCTGTCACTGCAGCAGGTGGTTGCCCTGAATTTGACTCAACAATACTGGGTTTTATCTAAGGATTAAATAGCCTTTACTATAGGAACTTTCAATATTTAACAAATTGAACACTGACTAAATTATCTGGTATTTTCCAACTATTATAGTAGAGGTCACTGTTCACAGAGCCCTGGTAGCACAGCAGTGTAGCACTCACTGGTAACCGTAAGGATGTCGGTTCAAAGCCCCCCAGCAGCTGTGTGGGAGGCAGAGTGAGCTCCCTCCTGCACAGTCGGCCGGGCCAGTCCTCCTCCGGCCCTGGGTGATTCCATGGAGCAGACCTGACTCCACAGTAACCCCTGGCGGCTCACCCAACGGTCAGCACGCGGAAGTCGCTGCCTCCCCCGGGGAAGAAGACGGGGTGTCTGCTTCCATAGGGATTACTGCAGCGCTGGCCACGCACTGGGCAGTTCCACTCTGCCCCCCTCAAGGGTGAGGGCAGTGGGACTTGGAGAGAGGACGTAAAGCGAGCCGTCTGAGCTCTGATACTCACCCGCCTCCTCCTGTGATGTAGCTGTAGCCACCGGTGCCCAGGCCGTAGCCATAGCGCTCGCCCAGAAACACGGGTTCACGGGCGTCATAGCAGCTGAGGAGGTGCCGGAGCCGGGAGATGCTGCATCGGGGGAAAGGCAGATGGTGACCCAGTGCGGGGTGACCGGGGCCCCTCACAGAGCACAGCCCCGGGGGGCACACGCGTCAGGGTCGTGCAGGGGCACATGGTGCTGCGGGGCCGGCCCACCGGGTCGGAATGGACTGGGGGCACCCAGAAACGATAACCACATGTCCCAACACAGAGGACCGGGGGACAGTGCTGGTCAAAGCCCCGGTCCTCAGGGGCAGACCACGAGCCACTCTGCTTTCACACTGCTTCTGCAGGTGCCGCTGCGTCAGCTCCCACGGCAGTGACCCTGAGAAACACCCCTGGGCCTTGCCTTCCCCAGCGCCCCCCTCACACGTCCGGCACGTTCAAGTCCACGGCCGCCGTCAGCCCGTCCTGCTGCGGGTCTTCCTCTCTCTGACCCCCTTTCCCCACATGGTACCCCTCTCCCAGGACTAGAGGCGTCAAACCACCAACGTGTGGTTTGCAGCCCAGTGTTTATCCCACAGGAGACAGCAGAAGGTTAATCCCCCGAGGCCCACCCCACCTGCCTTCGACCTGAGAAGAAACAAGTGCTGGCCCGTCTCCCCTCTGCCTGCTGGGAAATATTACCGACTGCCTTTAGAAGGGACCCGTCCGGCAGTCAGTGTGCCCTCTGAAGGGGTCCACAAGCTATCACATCCACACGTCTCACACATGTTTAAGCTCAAGCAGCACAGAGCTGCGTCTGACACATGTGGAAAACCTCCTATTCGCTGAAACGGGGAAGTCTGGGTAAGACGGAGAGATCTTCGCTTCCAAGGGGATTTGACTGCTGATCCAGGGAAAGAACGGCATCTAAAAACCTGATCCCCCTCTCGGCTGTTCCGAGGGACTGACGTGAAGGAAAGCCAAGCGTGCAGGTAGCCTGCACGGAGGAGACTGCCACCTTTCTCCCACAGAACAGCTGGTGGACACGCACACTTAAATGTAAACATACATGTGTGCACGCTCACACACACACACACACACACACTCCTCCCCTGTGAGCTGCTGCCTCAGAACCCACTGGAGCGTCAGCGGTGCGTCAGTTCTCTCGATGGCAAATCACCACATCACCACCACACGATTCAGGCCATGGTCTGTACGGTCACTTGTGTGATGCTTACAGCCGGACAGTGACTAAGGATGACAGAAGAGGAATCAGGGCCTTGAACTACGGTGTCGGAGACGGGTCATGAACGTCCCACGGACGCCAGGAGGACAGACGGGTCCTGGAGCAAAGGGAAGCCAGAGTGCTCCCTGGAGGGAAGGACGGTTTGCATTGAGGTTGGGCTAATCCTCGGAAAGAGAGCTCACGCTACGCAGGGTGGAGGGTCAGTGTAAGAGAGGAGGAGCTCCACACGATGGACACGGTGGCGGCAGCAAGGGGCTCAGGTGGCTGAGGAGGATGGCGCAGGAGAGCACGGGTTCAGATCTGCAGTTCACGGGGCCGCTGTGAGTCGTACTTGACTCGACAGCACCTAACAACAACAACATGCACGTACCTTCAAACACACTTCTTACATATATTTTCCCCTTTTCTATGAGATCAGCTGCCCCTTCACCCCTCAGTTCTTCAATGGCCATTTCCTAAGCACAAGGGTTAGGAAGTCCCCGGGGAACACTGGTATCGGTTTCTGGCACCCGAAGGCCAGCTCACTGCCGGATTCAGGAGCTGTGACGGCGTCGGAGGAGCAGGAGCACCTGCCTGCTTATGAAAAGGCTGGTGCTTCGAACGAACCCCCAGAGGCAGCTGTGCCCCCAGAGACGGCAGCGCTGGGAACTCGACAAGCAGCCCCATGCTGTCCTTCTACGACTGCGCACTGCCGGACAGCGGGGGGCCACCGCTCATGGAAGGAACGCTAGTTGTTAGGCATCTGCTGTGTGGGAGAAAGATGGGCTGTGACTTGACAGACATGGTTATGGGACTAAACCCAGCAGAGGGTCAGCTGTGATTTGACAGACGTGGTTATGGTTCTAACCAAAAGGCTGCTGTTGCCGTGTGCAGTGAAGTCAGACCTGACTCACAGCCGACCCTCTAGCAGGTTTCCAGAGGCCGTGAAATACGCAGAAGGAGACCGACCTCCCGCAGAGTAGTGGAGGATCTGAACTGCGTGCCTTGAGACTGCACCAAGGCTTCTTACCACCCACCCCCATCATATAAATTCTCACTTCTATCACACCTACAGCGCGTCTGAGTGCTGGGCAATGACGAAGGATGACAGAGGAAGAACCGATGCCTTTGAGTTTGGTGCTGGAGAAGAGTCTTGAACATACTATGGTCTGCCAAGAGAACACAAAGGTCTGTCCTGGAGAGGGTGAAACCAGGCTGCTCCCTGCAGGCTAGGATTGTGAAGCTCCATCTCACATACGCTGGGCATGTGGCGAAGAGAGAGCAGTCCTTGGAGAAGGACATCGTGCTGGGAAGGATGGAGGGACAGAGCAAGACAGGAAGACCGTGGTCGAGATGGACTGATACAGTAACTGGGGCAATGGGGGCAGGTGTGTCAGAGATGGTGAGCCTGGCTCAGGACGGGGTGGGGCTATCGTGCACAAGGTCACTACGAGTTGTAACAGACTCAACGGCACATGACAACAACACAGTGCAGAGCAGAACCGCCCCCCAAGGTCTCCAAAGCTGTCACCTCGGCGGGAGCCCACTGCCGCTTCCCCCACAGAGCAGTGGGTGGGTCTGAGCGCACAACGCCCTGATTGGCAGCCCAGCACCGGCCTGTGTGCCCAGGGGTCTTGAGCACTGTTACTGCACAGCGTCTGCCCCTGGCATGTGGCTGGCTGTGTCCTGTGCGAGGGCACATCCCGCTGCTCCCCTCGGCCAGGAGCACCAACACGTACTAGGGTTTCTGAAAATAGAAGCAGGGCGCGCAGGACAGGAAGGGGCTCACCTTATCAGCGTGTCATCGTCCACAACGACCAACCACGGGGCTCTGGCACGGCTGTGATTCAGGAACCTCCCCAAGATGGCAAACGTCTTTCCACAGTGACCTGGGAAAGGCAGGAGAAAGGCTGGCTGCAGCAGCTGCCCTGAGACACGCCTCGGCCACTCTGAAATTCATTTTCCACACGTTCCATTACAAGCACTTGGAGGCTGACACTCGCGTTGATCATTCGAAACCTCTAAGAACTGTGCCTCTGAGTTTTTACAGACAGTGTGTCTTCAGGGGCTTCACCGTAGGGAGGGTCATGTCACTCCAGGTAACGGAGGAACTGGAGCCAGAGCTGTCACAGAGCCCGCCAGGGTCCAGGGCTGAAGGGCAGATCACAACGCCCTGCTGTCGGGTCCCAGCGAGCAGCGGCGCAGGACGGAACAGCCTGGCAGGGCTCCCGGGTGGACAAGTCCACGTCCTCTGTGTACAGAGCACAGAGCACAGGGGCTGCACTGCACCTGGAGGAAGGCTGCCTGTCTCTGGCTTCTGGAACCCACCAGCAGCTCCAAGGAGAGATGCGCAGTCTCCTCAGGTGGCATTTATGGCCTCGGAAACCCACTGGGCCAGCCCTGAGTCAGAACTGACCACGAGGCAATGAGGGAGAAGGAGAATCTTCATGAGAAGTTTTGATGGAGCAGCTAGTGTGTTCGAACTGCCAGCCTTCAAGTCCTTGGGTCACTGTGCCACCAGGACTTCTTGTGACAGAGGCCCATTTAGCATATTAAGTCCACAGAGACAGGAAATCTGGAAGCACCTTAGCAATCCCAGAAGCCGGAGTCCCATCTTAGACATCCTTGATCAGAAAGAACCCTGGGGCCCAGGCATCCCACCAGGAAGGACTGAAGCGTGCAAACAGCTAAGACCCATCCTCACTTGTTTACATTGGAAATCTTAGTAAGTTTAGAGTCGGCCGGATACGGGGCTAGGACCAAGGGACCTGCTGAAGCCACAGAGCTGAGCGAGCCCTTCACTGTACAGCAGGGACCTCATCTACAGCCTGACAGATGACACACGACACTGCCCGGGGGCCAAGACAGGAGCAGGCACCTGAGCGCTGGCCACAGCTGATACACAAGAGATGCACTCATCTCACCAAGTCTCCGGTAACACGGTACAAACAAGCTAACAGGAATCCATATTCAGCCACTCGCCCGGACCCCTCCTCTCCTCCTGTCATCTAACTCTGCGGCCTCTGACGCGCGGTCCTGGTGGAGGACACTGAACGGACCTCGGCTGGCACATCTGAACTGGAAGCAGCTCAATTAGCGCTCCATGCACGTGAGGGCTCTGACTCACGCTGGTTGTCAGGAGGGACCGTCCCGGGGGGACGCCACGTCATGCTTAGCAGATCACAGGGTCCGCAACCGAGGCAAGGGCCTCCCGTTGGATGGACTGGCCGAGGGGCTACACCAACGAGCTCCCTGACAGCAGAGCGTGTGAGGATGGCACCGGCTGGGCAGGGACTCGGGGACAACATCCACCCGCGGAGCCGGTGTTCCAGCCCGCACAATGAGAACAGGAAGCTGATCCAGACAGGCACGGAAGAAGTCAAACTTGTCCTCTAGATGATAAGGGATGCTGGTGGCCTAGGGTGTTGTGTTGCCAACCCAAAGGTAGGTAGTTCGATTTCTCCAGTTGCTCTGCAGGAGTAAGCGAGGGAAATTCCTCCTCTTTCATTTACAGCCTCTGAAAACCCACTGGAAGGGTCCTCTATGAGTCAGTTCTGAGCCAACAGCTCTTAACAGCCATAGATGGATGGCAGAATCCTCAACGTCCAAGATCCAGAGACTCGTCAGCACCAGAGTTAATAGAAATAACGGAGGACGGCACAGGCCAGGGGATGGCGGGGCTGTGCTGAGCGCTGGGTCACTACAGGATCAAGCCGACTCCCCCACGCCTCACCCCGCCACCAGTGTGAACTGTTAGAAGCCATCATCATTGAATAAACAGGGCCAACAAGCAGCTCAGAGGAAAAGTCAATTAAGAAATCAAAGAAGGAATGTGCAGATAAATGAATGGCCGCTCAGCCCAAGCACACCAAAATTCTCTAAAGCAGAATAAACAGGAGCCCTCCGCCCCCCGCTCTGAGTGGCCTGACTCCCAGTGACGTGCCATCGTGTTCCTGAGCTGTTAGTCTGTATGGGAGAAGGCTGCCCATCTTTCCCCTGTACAGAACTTAGTGGTTTTGAACCACAAACCTATTGGTTATTAAACACTTACTCCACGAGGCCACCAGAACTCTTTAAAAGCAAACAAAAAATTAAAGACTACTCCACAGGAAAGACTTCTTCCCCAAGCAGGCAGCTACAGCGAGCCGTCAGTCCACGTAACCTTGCCGGGGAAATGGGAAGAACACAGATGATCTGCTTGTTCTGTGCACTTCCTTAATCAGGGGACGAGGAGTGACACTAGAGTGAGCTCATCAGGACAGAGTGAGACCATCGGTCTCTGCAGTACAGCCCTCAAAGGAGACAAGGAGCCGGAGACCACCACCCAAAGCACGTGACAGGGACATCGCATAGAAAGGAAAACGGATCTAAATGGGGGTCACACCCGGCCCAGCCCACTGCGTGGAGCCAGTGCAGAGTCCCAGCCACGCTCCACGGGCTCCGTCTGTCCATCTTCATCCAAGAAGCGTGCAGACGACCACAGCTGACAGTGATCCTGTGCACAACAGGTGTGCCCCCTGCCCCGTCCTGTGCCATCCTCACCACCCGGCACGCTGGCGGCCACTACAGGTCACGGCGTCCACCGTGTCGTCGAGGATCTTCCCTCCTTCGCTGCCTCTCCTGTCTCAGCACTCGCCTTTTCCCTAGGACTGTTCACTTCTGACAATCTGATTCAGGAAGATGAGCTGAGATGTAACCGTCTCTCTTCCAAAGAGCTCCCGGGCTGCACTTCCTCCAGAACAGACTTACTTGTTCGTTTGGGAATCGATGAGACATTCAGTGCTCCTCTCAAAGGCATGGTCGCTGCTTCTGTCACCTCTCAGACGCACGGCCCTGGCTCTGGTCAGACGCACCGCAGTCCTCAAGGCGACATCTTTGCTCCTTACCACTATAATACAGTAATGGCTGACACAAAGCAGATAAAACCCTCAACTCTGCCAGCAAGCTGGTCTGGTCTCTACTCCACGCACTGAGCAGAGCCGCCCTTGGGCCCCAGGCTGGGACCCTGACTGGCGCGGATCACAGGTCTTTCTCCCGTGCGGGCCTGAACCCCTGACTCCACGGTTCACAGCTAAGCGTTTAACACTGCACTGCTGGAGCTTCTTGGTGCAGGGCAGTCAGATAAGAACACCAGCTGTTAAATCGGTACCTAAACACGAGGGTGTTCTGTGTGAGAGGAGAATAAATTATCATTTCATAGCTGTGATCAACTATGTAGAAATTAAAAATCTGTTTTTAGACTCTTGTAAATTGTCATGTGCTCCACCGTATCAACTCACTTGACATGTTTAAAAAATCTACCATGATGTGTTCACACTATCTAGTCCTTACCTTAAAGGACTCAGTCCACACAGGTAGGTGGTGGGAAGGGAAGGTGTACAGCCTGCACAGGGCAGAAACTCGAGGATCCGCAAACCAGAGTCCTGGTGGTGTGACAAGTTAGCATCCAGCTAAGAGAAAGGCAGGTGGTTCTAACCCACTCAAAACCCCCTCGGGAGAAAGAAGAGGCGATCTGCACAGCAGACCCTCCGCCAGGCTGACAGAGGACATAAAGTGGACGGGAGGAGACTGCCCATCTTACTCCCACAGAGCCCACATACTGTTGAGCCTGCAATGTAATTCCTTACGACTATGCCACACCAGGGCTCCCTAAAGGTTGTGCATAAAGATCAGAGCCTTGGAGAGCACATGGAGCCGCCCCACACACCATGAACAGACACGTAACAGCGGGGGTTCGTTGTCACGACACCCTCCTCTGCCCTCTCCCCACCCTGCTCCTTCAGACCTCGGTGGAGGCTTCCCTAAATGGGCGTCCACAGCACGACGCTCCTTACTAGGGTATCAATCCTTGACTGACGGGCACTCAGCTGGCTCCGAGCTTCTGCTGTTTCTAACAATATTTCCGTGAACAGCTGTGCAGAACTCTTCTTGGACCTTTTCAGTGTCGGGTGCTTTCAAGTCAATGCTGAGGTGCTGTACGGTGCCTTCGAGTCGTCTGCAGCCCACGAGCACCCTGTAACAGTAGACCTACATTGTCCTGTGCCAGTCTCATCGCCTGATACACTGTACAGTCACGGAGCCAATCAGTGTCATTCCATTTGCTCTTTCTCTGTCACACCACATTTCCAAGCGTGATGTCCTGCTCCAGTGACTGCCCCACCCCCAACAGCACGCTCAGAGTCTGTGAGATGAAGCTTCACCACCCTCACCTCTGAAGGAGCACCCTGGCTACATGGCCTCCGAGACACACCTGTTAGTTCTTTTGACAGCCCATGATACGTTCAGTAATACGCTCCCGCCCCACAGCTCACAGACATCAATTCTTCTATCACCCTTATCCACTCCCCAACTCTCAGAGGCAGAGCAAGCAATTCAAAAGACTGGGTAGGACCAGGTGCACCTTAGTCTTTAAAGGACGTCACTGCTCCATAGATCCCTGACAGCAGATTTTCCCCAGTGTGACACATCTCTTGATGTCTTGACTGCTGGTGCCAAGGGTGTTGACTGTGGATCCAAGGAAGATGGAATTGACAACTTCAATCTTTTCTCCACCTACCATGATGCTGCCCACTGGCCTGGTGGTGAGGATTTTTGTCTTCTTGATGTGGGGATGCGATCCACATGGAAGCTGCAGTCTTTGATCTTCTGGAGCAAGGGCTTTGGCTTCTCCTCACTCCCAGCAAGCCACCTTATGTCACCTGCACAACGCACCTTGATGATTCTCCCACTGAACCTGCTGCCACTTTGCTCTCTTAAAGTTCAGCTTTTCAAATACATGATCTGCTCAGCGTACAGACTGACCAGGTGTGGACAGAGGATAAAGTTCTGGCACACGTCTTTCTTAATTCTATGCCACGCAGTGTTCCCAGGCTCTGTTCAGACAACAGCATTTTGGTCTACATACAGATATCCCATAATAAAAGTTAATTGCTCTGGGATTCTCATTCTGACTCACAGAAACCATTTGTAATCTTTTAGCCCTGCAGTGCAGAGCACTGATGTCAATGTCACCGAGTGTGGTTGCAAACCAGATGGTCAGTGGTTCAAACCTCCCAGCTGCACTGAGAGACAAGGCTAAGGCAGTCTCCCTCCACGACGATGGTGGCCTTGAACCGTGTGGACAACTCTGCTCTGTCCTCCAGTGTTGCCATGAGTCACAGTTAACTGATGACAATGGTGGTGGTGGTTTACTATCTTTTTACTAAAATATTTCCCTTTGACTCTGACTTAATTGACTGTGTGACCAAAACCAAAATGCAACTCACTGCTGGGTTGGCTGCACCTCACAGAAGCCAGGCCCTGGCTCCGAGGCTGTGGACCTTCAGAGCGGAGCCGGCCTCACGGTTCTCCCACACAGCAGTGGGGGATTCAAACCTCTGAGCTTCTGGTTAGCAGTCCAGCACGTATGTACCATGCTATTGGGTCTCCGTGACCATGCTGACAGAAAGGAAACCCGGCCTGTGGGAGGCGGGGAGAAGCAGGGCTCACCTCTGTCCGTGTTGGGGATCCCCAGATCCACGGTGGGAATGGAGTCTTCCGCGCGGTCGCTGTAGTACTCGATGGGCCCGGCCTGTGCTTCCCAGGTCCGCTTTACTATGGGAACTGGAAAAAGGCCAGAGGGGATGGTTACGGAGTCACGCCCAGTGAGGGGCACCCCCAAACCCACAGCAACCGTCTAAGCGCCCTACAGACAAAGGAACCGTGACTGAATTATTCTTCAGTTTCAAGAATCCAGTGCTTACTTTTCATGCCCAAGAAATGCCAAGACTGTCAGCTAATCATTCCTGATTTCACACATCCTGTGCTTCTGTTAACAGATTAGTAATTTCTAATTTCATTGTTGCTGTCATGATGTGTCACTGAGTCGCCTGCCCTCACAGCACTCTCTGAACCCTGCCCTGTCCTGAAACAGTCACACTGACTCCAACACACCTTCACCCACTACACACTGGTACGACTCGCTTTCACTGGTGTTAACTAATTGCTATTTAGTAGTAATTACTGTTCTAATTACTAGCTGTCCCTAAGGGAGCTTGAGTGGCGCAGCCCACAGGGAACTGCTCTGCTAACCCTGAGGCAGTGGTTCGAATCCCACAGCGGCGCAGCAGGAGAGAGCTGAGCCCTCTCCCCCCGGGTGACCTGCAGCCCCAGAAACCCCACGGAGGGTCGGCTGTGGGTCAGTTCCCGCCCAGCAACCATGGGGAGCTCTAGTCCTGAGGATTTTCTCCAGCCACTTGGAGAATTTAAGATCCCAGGGCCTGTGTGACAAAGCAGGAGGTGGGACAAAGCCTGCCTGGGCCACGCAGCAGGGATGGTCCGTGGGCCTGGACTCCACGCCGAGGACCATGCCCCACGAGGCGTCCAGCAGCCGGGCATCACGTGGCCCTGCGTGGGACCTAGGCTGCCTCTGCTGTGACAGCCAGGAGGGGACCATTCCTAACTGCATACGGCTGCACCCAGCCTCCCAAAGACCACGCTCTCTGCACCGAGAATCACGCTCGGTGACGCTGACATCAGTGCTCTGCACTTCTGGAAAATACGGAAGAAGCAAGATTGAGAATCCCTGTGAAATTTAACATGTTGTTGTTGTGTACCATCGTGTCTGAACTGACCCATAGATGACCCCCCTGCGGGTTTTCAGAGGCAATAAATCACATGGGAGGAGACTGCCCATATTTCTCCCACAGAGCACGTAGTAGATTTGAACCATGTGCCTTTGGGGTTGCAATGTGGCTTCTTACCTCTAGGCCAACTCAGATTATCATTAGCAAATGTTTTAATACAAATACACACAAAACAGCCCAGAAATCCACACTATCTTTTCATAATTTATATAATTGAAGGTAGCTGTTTCTAAGCTGACTTACTTTACTAGTTAGTACTTTCCACCCATCCGCTGTCCGATTCCCCACGTCATATTCCCTTCTCACAGTCCTCTCCCCCGTCACAAATTCTAACTCATTGCCACCAAGTCAGAGCTGACTTGGTCAGACCCCTTCCTGACCTTCCAGTGGGCTTTCAGAGGATGCCCATCTTTCTCCCTCACAGCGGATGGTGGATTTGAACTGCACACCTCTGAGTTGTCAGTGCTGCTCCTTCCCCAGGAGGTCAACCGAGCCAGGGGTTAGGACTTACCACACATTTCTGACTCATAGGAACCCTATGGGACAGAGTGGACCTGCCCATAACATTGTCCAGGCTTTAAAGGAACACATGGCTACATCTTTGTCCCTTTAGAGCTCCTGGTGGATTTGAACCAGTGACCTTTTTGTTATCAGCCCAGGGCTACATCCACTGTGCCACAACCTGGAGTGAAAACACGTGCCACCAATAAACATCATGATAAATGGAGAAAAGACTAAGGCTGTCCAGGGTTTACTTGGTCTCACAATCAATGCCATGGAGACGGCAGCCAGGTAACGTGCACTGGGCAGAGCTGTTGCCACCCAGACGCTGAGCTGTGAGTCAGAACCGACTCGGAGCTGCCCTCGCTGAGGCTCCGGACGTCGGCCTCGGCCATAGCTTCCTCCTGTGCAATTACAGCCTCAGAAAGCCAGGGCGGGGGAGTGGGGTGTCAGCTATGACTGGGTTCCAGGTCAATAGAAACGGAAGAACAGAGAACAAAGGGACACGTTCATGGATGCTGACTGTGGCTTCCTTTTTTGTGCTTTGAACCATGAAGCTTTCTTTCAGGTTAGGAGCACCACCAAAGCCACTGCGTCACCCAACCCCAAACCTACCCGCTGCCGCCAGGTCAGCCTGGCCTCACGGCGACCCTCCTGGGCTCTGCGAGGCTTTTAATCTTGAGGCTGTCTTCTCCCAGAGTCCTGGGTCGACTCAAACCACTGTCCTTCCAGCAAGCACCTCACACACAGCCCACTAAACTATCAAGACTCCTGAATCAACAGCTCAGTGTTCGGGAGAGGAAAACGGAGACCTTCACTTTATTCTCATTCCAAATTCCAGAACACCACTAACCATAACCTTGGCTCTGCAGACGCACCGCTGCGTATGCGGCAAACAGAGAAAAGGCCTGTCTGCATCAGGGGCAGGGCCAGGTCAGCACCAAGGTTAGAGGAAGCCCTGGCTGACCAGGTGGCTTTTAAAGTCCAGTATGGATTCCACACTCACGTTGAGGCTGAACCAGGGTTAAGGCTCCGCCTTCAGACTGAAGCACCAAGAGCCTCTGGTTTCACACCTTCACCAGGCAACGTCTCCCATCACAACACGTTCCTCCTCAGTGCCGATTCCCAACCGGCTTCTATAATGTTGATCAATCAGCAGTGTTTGAATGGAAGATTCAACTCATCCTACTATTTACATACTTAATTTGAATCAGAGCTTACCGATCACATTGATCTTTCATTCAAGCATTCATACACATTTTGCCTTATAACATTAATTACAATCAATTGATGCAATTAATTAATTACAATAGTTGATGAATTCCTTATTATCTATTGCTTTTCACCTCAGGAAACTTCTTCTATTTAATAGTTTTTACTTTTTTCTCCCTCCCTGGTAACTATGAAGATATAATTTCTAGGAAATGTGAGTGACTAGGCTGATTTTAAGCGCACACTCTTCTACTTGCATATGAGCCTCTCTGGAAGGACTCACTCAGCTTCTCACTGTCCAGTCATCAGCGTGGACAGGGTGGTGGTCAGAACTGCCAGGACTGTCTGCGTTTGGGACAACCTGTGGATTTCAATCCTTTGCTGTCCCTACTGCTACTGAAAAGAACAAGCCGGCCTTCAATCAAAGCCCAAAGCAGCCTTCAGCCAGGCAGGGCATCAGTGTGAACACAAAACACCGTCCGTCCGCGTGTGTGTGTGAAACAACTACAGCTGCACGTGGTGTGGTCAGCACGGGATTTGAAAGCAGAGACCCCGAGGAACAGTCACAGCTCTCCTCAGCAGCTCCGAGAACACAGGCCAGCTGTGGACCCAGGGTCAACTTCCTCTACGCTACCAGGTGACTCACGGTAATTAAGGGGGCTCTGGTGGCCTAGTGGAAGGAGTGACACTGCCCGCTCCAAGGTGGGCGGTTTGGACCCGTGAGATGCTCTGCAGGAGAAATACGGGCAATCTCCCCTGACGCGATGCGCAGCTTCAGAAAACCTGGGTGGAGGGTCTGCTGTTACTACTTGTCCCAACTCGACGGTGATGAAGAGCTCAACAACAGAGCGGATCGGCACCCAACCGCTGACTACTCAGTCAGCAGTTCAAACCCACCAGCCCGGCTACAAGTCAAAAACGAGGCAACCAGCTCCCACACAGATTAAAGCCTCAGAAACAGCAGGGGACAGTCAGACTGTTTGAAAGGGCTGTTAAAAGTCAGACTCGAACACAATGGATTACTTTTATTATAAGCAAATATGAAAGCTTATGGTTAATACACTTTTTAAAAAACGTTGTTATGGGTTTATTTAATGCCAATTTCTTATAAAACACAACAATCTGAAATTATACCCTTATTTTAGTTGTAAAACATTTTTCCAATAAAAATAATTTATAAGTATCATATTATTAAATAAAAGACATCAACTTTCACCACAGCTCCAGTCCTAAAAAAACAACAGCTGGTTTAGAAATCTCTCCTACATAAATAACACATGTTCAGTGAAATTGACAGTCTTTTCAGAGAGAAAATTTAGAGTATGTGCTAAAATTTCTCATTCAAAACCCAAAACCAAAGCTTATTACCATCGAGATGCCTCCGATTCAGCATTGCCGAGAGCAGAGCTCCCTCACCGGGCTTCCGAGGTGCCACCTTCACAGAGGGAGCTCTGGTGGCAAAGTGCTATGAGCTGTGCTGCCCACACGCTGACCGGGAGGCCCGTGGGGGCTCCTCTACCGCTCGCTCACAGCGGCCAGGGTCTGCCTGTCATCAGGGGACAGTGCGTGGCAACATGGACTGTTACCACACTGTTCTCAGGGCTCCCACAGCACAGGGTTCCTGTTTCTGACATGACACTATTTTCAACCGTATTTAGAGGGGCCGTGAGCATGCATGCTGCAGGATGAAACTGTCCTTCCGACGTGGCCATGGTTCAAAAGGCAGGGGTGATGGAACTGGCATTGCCCTGGAGCTGTGGCTGCGGTTCCCCCCACCCACCCCACGGTCCCCCTCTGAGGGTCCCCTCTGTGGTACCCCCTCTGACCGCACTCCCCCATCGCAGTGCCTCCCCCAATGTGGTTCCCCGCCTCCGTGGTCCCCTGCATGGGTCCTTTCTTGAGCTAAGAGACCAATACAATCTTTATGTTTTTAAAAGCAACCTGGATTCCAGAAGCTCAGAAAAAATTAATAACTCAAAAAACATACTTCTGTCACTGTGGAATTTCTTGCACGTTTTTACAGCCACAAAGATATCCTCCTTTTTCACTGGATTTCCCTACAAAAAAAATCCAAACAAGAGAGTAATCAGAGCTCCACGGTTCAGTGCTATCTTTTTTCATATTTCATTTTTTATTATGCTTTTAGTGTAAGTTCACAGAAAGGATGAGTTTTCATTCACTCGCTGATACACATTTTGCCCCTCCGCCCCGAATCACTCTGTAATGTCTGTCTTGGTCCAGACTGTCAGTTACCACACACCCTGTCCAGTCACTCCTTCCCTTCACACAGTCCCCCCTTCTCCCTAGTGGAATGGCCACTCTCCACCTCCTTTCCCTGCTCCCCCATCTGCTGCCCCCACCTCGGGTCCATTGGGTCTTACACAGTATTTGTCCTTTTGACTGAGATACCTCACTCAGCATAATGTCTCCCAGACTCTCTCACGCTGTGTGGTGTTTTACAAATTCATTGGTTTTCAATGCTGCATAACAGTCAATTGTGTGGATGTACTGTGACTTCTCTATCCATTCATTTGTTGACAGGCACTTGGACTGCCTCCATCTCTTTGCGATTGTGAATAATGCTACAATAAATACGGGTGTGCATACATCTGTGTCACAGGTCTGGTTTCTTTAGGGTATACTCCCAGTAGTGAAAATGCTGGGTCAGATGATACTTCTACCTCCAGCTTTTTTAGGAAGCACCAGACCACCTTCCCCAGTGGTTGTGCCATTTAACACGCCCACTAGCAGTGAGTGACCGTTCCAGTGTCTCCATCACTCATCAGACACTCCAGGACTCAGCAGCTGCCATGAGCCGATTCTTCTCACGTGGATGCTACAGGCCAGGGGAACCCTGCCTCCCGCTGTCAAGACGAGAATACTTGCTATGGAGGAGAGAGTCGTGGGCCTCACCTTTCTCTGGAGGCTGGGATGTGGGCTTGAGAGGCCAACTCTCCTGTTAGCAGCAAGGGCTTGAGCTTTGTACTTCGTTTTTATTATAAACAAACAGCACAGAGATCACCACTGATGAAGGTCTTTAAAGGAAGGGCGGGCAATGGTGCAGGCCTTGGAAGGCCCAGATGCAAACATGCATGTGTGATACTGAACGTCTCTGCGTGGCACTGTGACCATTCACACAGCATTTCACACCCGGCCAGGCTTCTGCACACTGACGTGACAGCAACAGCAGCACGCCACGTTGTACACACTGTTGTTATGTGCCACCAAGTCAGAACCGACTCATAACGGGGCCTCCAGTGGGTTTTCAGAGGCTGTAAACTGCACGGAAGAAGCCTTTGCCTCTTTCTCCTGTGGGGCAGCCAGGTAACAGCGGTACCCCATTCCCTCCCTGTACCACGGGGCTAAGTGCAAGCCTGACCTGACAGGGCTGGTGTCACACAGCCCGGGCCTGGCTCTGTGCAGACGTTCAGCCCACTGGAGGAGCATTATATACACAGCACGAACGCTTCCTCACGTCCCCAGGGAAGCTCCGTCACTTACACAGAGCGGCAGGAAGGAGTGGAAGGTGGTGGCGCAGCGGGGCCCCGTGGCGTCAGTACACAGCTCAGGCACTGGGGTCAGGGCTGGCCCCTCACCTCTGTCCCAAATGTAGAGAGCAATCTGTCAAGAAAGAGGAGGCTCGAATCAATGAAGGAACTCGCTGGCATCCGAGGACACAGCACCAGGCCCATCACCATGCCTAACTCGGGCCTCTGAGGCTGTAAACCATCCTTCTCCTGAGAACCTTCCAGTGAAGAGAGCCACAGGTAGCACCGCACTACCAGGCTCCCCACCACAGTAAGATGACACAAAATACCTCCAGGGGCATGAGAAACCTTCGACAGAGAGCTTCAGGTTGAACCTCAGTCATATGTGAATACTTGACCCACATTTAATCTACGAAAATGATCATTTCTGACCACAGAGTTTGTCATTTTCATGGCAACCAGGCTTCCTGGAGGTCAAGGCAACCAGCAGACACTACTGTCCTGAGAGGACTCTAAAGCCTGAGGTTCAGAAGCTGGACCCCCAAGGCCACAGCTGTCCAGTCAGTCTCACTCATCCACTTTCCAAGACTGAAAATCTTCATGGCCACAGACTGTGTCACCTTTGTGCAGTCTAAAACAGGACGCCTTACACCACCAGGACACCTAAAAATCACCGAAAAGTCAAAGACCAGTCTGGCCTTGGGCAGTGTGAGCTTTTCTAGAATTCTCTAAGTGCCTAGTTTCTACAAATGGGAAGGCCAAAGGTCAGATGAGAAACTCTTGAGTCAATTAGCACATTACTTATTCAAGTACTTGTTCAAGTAATTGCTTATTTAGTAGTGCGATATGGAATCCATAGTCAACAGTCTTGGCACCAGCAGCCAGGAAATTAAAAGGCGCATTGCCATGGGAAAGTCTGCTGTTAGGGACCTCTCCAAAGTACTGAAGAGCAATGGTGTCTCTCTGGAGACTAAGGTGCGCCTGATACAGGCCATGGTCTTCGCAATCACCTGTTATGCATCAGAGAGTTGGACAATGACCAAGGAGGATAGAAGGAGAACTGATGCCTTTGAGCTGTGGTGCTGGAGAAGAGTACTGAGAATACCATGGACTGCTAGGAAAACAGACAGATTTGTCCTGGAAAGGGTTAAACCGGGTGGCTCCTTGGAGGCAAGGATTCTGAGGCTCCGTCTAACTTACTTTGGACATGTTGTGAGGAGAGACCAGTCCTTGGAGAAGGACATCATGCTTTGATGGGTGGAGGGACGGCACAGGAGAGGAAGGCCCTCTATGAGGTGGATTGATTCAGTGACTGGGGTAACTGGGATGGGAGTGTCAGAGACAGTGCAATTGGCACAGGACAGAGTGGAGTTTAGGGCTGTTGTACATAGGGTCGCTATGAGTTGCAGGCGACTGGACGGCACATAACAACAACAACAACATATGGAATCCTACCTGACCACAAACTGCCTTGTCAGTTCTATTATGATCCCTTTACTTATGGAAATGAGTAATTACCAGTGATAAGACAAAATACAAAATCCATGAAAGACGATTCTTCTTTGTTATTTAATTCCTAGCCAGAAACTGTAGGCCTGCCCTGCCAACTACATTTTACAATATGTTTTAATAAACTTCTGCTAGTACCTTCATATATTTTTTTAACATTTCATACAGCTATGTAATTTCTTCATAATTAATGTGAAAACTGAGTGTGACTGACTCAAGCCATGATATTTCTGATCACTTCATATGCATAAGAAAACTGGACAATGAATAAGGAAATGAAGGAAATGCATGAACTGCTGTTATCTGAATGGTGCTGGTGAAGGAAACCGACTGTACCAGGAAAATGACTGACTCTGTGGGCCTTTGAAGCGAGGGTGCCAAGCTTCACCCCACGTCCTTCAACATCATCACTGACGTCTAGGAGGGTATAAGCACCAAGACCCTCGGATCCAATGAAGACACTGATGTGTGATCCCTGGGGTGTCTACCTTCCTGTTCAATTCTGTTTATTATGGAAGGAGATTGAAGGAAGAGAAAAGTATGGCCCTGTAGCCTGCAGCCTGCCTCCTTAGCACAGCTGCCTCTGATCTCCCCTCATTTACAACAGGTATCATAACTGCATCACATCACAAGATGGAAGGTCAGCAGTTCTAACCCACCAGAGGCTGCAGAAGGATGGGGAGCCTCCTCCGGGTCAAGGTCAGAGACGCAGAAACGCCATAGAGGGTCACTAGGAGTCAGATCAAGCTCAACAGCACCGGGAGTTTTTGTTTTGGTGGTGTCGTGGTTAAAGAATGCAGGACAAAGAGCAGGCTGCCTGCTTCTGCTGCGGGCAGCTCCATTCTCTCTTACAGGGGCTGCTAGAAATCAAAATAGATTCAATGACAGTGGGTACTTGATTTTTTCATTTAAACTGCAAAGATTGTCTCAGATAACAATTTAGGGATTTATCCAGCCTCCATAGCTCCATAAAGTCTGGATTCTGTGAGAATTTTCAATTCTGCACTGAAGTCTCATGTCCCTACTCCCACCTTTGAAGGCCAGATATATTTTTAATGAAATATTAGCATGTTTTTAGAAATTCATCTCTGGACACACTAGTATTTTAAGAAGCAGCTTTAAGAACCATATTATGTAATCTTTCTCTCTGCTTCTTCCCCACTTATGTTACTGTCAGGAGCTTAAAATAGAGGGTTCTGATTCACTGGGGGCTGTGAAAACTACCTGGTCCTGAGATGACAGATGTGGGTGGGGCATAAAGCACCTCTTACGTCAGAGCCCTTTGTGCTTTGTTGTTACCACTTTTACCAAGAGAAAACGGACCTACCTCATGTTTTAAATCTATGGTAAAGTCCGATTTCAGGGAGTCACTCTTTAATCTCTTGGCAAGCCTGAAAAATAGAAGAGTGAGAAATGAGAGATGAGAGTAGCACATTTTTAGGTTTTCTAAAATACTGAAAATGGATTTAAAAATAAACAAACCTTGAAATAAATATAAGAGTTTTGTTATACTGAGAGAAAAGGCATCAATCATTCACTTTATGACTAGTATATACCCAAGGTGAAGCTTATTGGACATACAGTATTCATTATTCCAAAAGTGCAAAAAAATAAAATGAGCAAAATGCCATGGAAAATAAGAAGTCACGGGGCTGTGACGTCTGAGAGCCTTCACACTAAATCATGACAAGAAGGCAAACGTCGCAGTTCTAACTCGCTCTGGCCTGAACGCTCTTTGGGGGTTGTAACCTGAGAAGCCCTGTGAGACGTCCACCCCATCACGTGGGGTCAGTCAGACCATGTGGCGGCGCCCACAACAGCTCTGGTAACTCATGTTGAGGTCGTGGAGGTCTTGAGGCCAAGGAGGGTGAGTCTTGGGGTAAGGTTGAGGCTGAGTTTCATTTGACTTCTCCAGTCATTTCCTGGCTGAAACCAGTATTTGCAAGCTGCTTTCCATGAAACTACAGTCTCAGCTCCTCCCCTCCTCTGTGTGTGCCACCATCTGTCAGCTGCTTCTACCTCGGATCCCAGAAACGAGGCGGGCTCTGACCCAGGCCAGCGCGACAGGGCGAGCATCACAAGACAGTGACTTACACATGGTTTCATTTCCCTGTGCACAGAAAGTTACGCTGATGTTACTGGCTGTTGTTGATGTTGTTATGTGCTGTCAAGTCAGAACTGACTCATAGCTGACCCTCCAGTTGTCCAGAGGCAGTAAACTGTCCAGAAGAAGAATGCCCAGCCTTCTCCCACAGAGCAGCTGGTGGATTCAAACAGCCTGCCTTTGGGACTGAAGTGCTACCAGAGCTCCCTGTGCTGACCCAAGCCTGTAAGATCCTGCCAGCACCAGGCACAGGAACAAGAAGCAAGCATGTGCTGCTCGAACAGAGGTGGCAATACTTTGCTCCAGGCAGGGCTGCCATTATGGACAGATTGTTTGGAAGAAAAGAAACAAAAATCAGTACCCCCAAGCACAGAGCCAAGGTGTGCCGCTGCATGGATGGCTGGGCCTGGGCAAGCTCCCGCCCACTGCAAGGCCGTGGATCAGCCGCCTAGGGCTGTGCCTAGGGACTGGCCAAGGCTGCTTCTTCCACGTCAAGTTCAAGGACATTTTTGCTCTGAAGTTTTTTAGATGTATCTCCCAGAATAAATTAAAATGACCTATTTCCAGAATGCTAAGCAAAAAGAACCTACCAAACAAGACTGTTGTTAAGTGCTGCTGGGATGTAGGTGACTCATAGCGACCCTGTGAATGAAAGACCTGGACAGCTGTCTAACTTTTATCCTTTTTCTAGGTTCACAGAGTTTCTGGAGGCAAGTTATTTCAGAAGTGGACGCCAGTCCTGCTTCCAGGCTTGTTTTAATTGGGGAGCTCCACCAAACACTGTGCACAATTGGTAACCATTATTGTATTTGACACATCAGTGTCACAGTGTTCAGCATCACAGCAACCGGACAGAAGACCAGACAGGACTAGTGGGATTCTAATGTCATTCACCACGTGAGCTCTTTCATGTCTCCAGTCCTTCCCTCAGCATCAGGTCAAACCCCAACCCAGTCGCCACTGTCTTCTGTTGAGTCCAACACACAGGCACAGAGCAGAACTGCCCCCAGGGTCTCTGTCATCAGATGTACATCGTCACCCCGCCCCCAGGGTCTCTGTCATCAGATGCCCATCATCACACCCGAGGGAGGCCCACAGCCTTGAGTTTAGCAGCCAAGCATTCCAATCTCTGCTCTGCCACCAAAAGCAAGTGTTAGCACGAAACGTGCAAGCAGCTGCAGGCAGAAATGCAAAAGGGAGGCACACGCTCGGCATTCCTCAAGCGGAAAGAAATGAGGAACAAGCTCAAGTCTGAGGAGATGCAATACTGGAGGCTTCGATGGGCAAGTTCTTGACTGTTATCAGAAGCACCAAGAGAGGATGGAAGCAGTACACAGTCAGTGTGCCAAGAAGAATTAGTGGGCACGGAGGCATTTCCAGAAGGGGTCTATGATCACTATGCAAAAAGCGGCAGTGGTTCAGTATTATTATTAATTTCAATAAACATCTACAGAGATTTTGGAATTCCATTCATTCATTGTTGCCCTTTTCTCCCCACCCACTCACCCCCACAAAAACAAAAACAAAAATCAAAAAACCAAAAAAAAACCACCCACACACAAAAAAAATTGGCTCCTTTCAGTTTACATTCCAAGAAAGTAGTAGCCCTTTCTTAGGACAAAAAGCAAATTTAAATTTTTAAACTTCTCTTCAGATTTTTAGAAGTCTATTTGAAAATCAGATTCCTAAAAGCAGATTTAGAAGAGACCTCCTGTTAAAAAATAAAGGAGTAATCTTTTAAAACAAACAAAAAAAAGTGGCAGTGAAGGAAGAATTTCAAGCTGCACTGAAGAAGGTGTTGGCAAAAGCTAAACCCCAGGAACTGACGGAACCACAGCTGGGGTGTTTCAGGGAACATGAAACCCCACCTGTGCTCATTAATCCCTACCATCAAACATGGAAGACAGCACCTGGTCAACTGGCTGGAAGAGATTCACAACTGTTCTCAGCCTCAAGAAAGGTGACCTAACAGATTGTGAGAATTATTGCATCATTTCATTAATATCACATGAAAGCGGGGGAAAAAAATCTTGCTGAGGATGATTCGAAACCAGCTGGGACAGAACATCAACCGCAGAATTTCAGAAGAGGTCACAGCACGAGGGAAATCAGTGCTGAGGTCAGGTGCACCCCGCTGAAAGCAGAAAATACCAGAGCGATGTCTCTTTGTGTTCCGTCAATTACATAAAGGCATTTGACTGTGTGGATCATAACAAATTATGGCCAACGTTGAGAATAACAAGACTCCTAGAACACTTAATTATGCTCATCTGAAACCTATTCAAGGACCAAGAAGCTGACTCTGAGAACTAGGGGCCACCACAGGATTCACAGTCAGAGAAAGTGTGCGGCAGGGCTGTATTCCTTCTCCACACCTATTCAGTCGTACGCTGAGCAGATCATTTTAGAAACTGGACTCTGTGAAGAGGAATCTAGCATCCGGATCAGAGGAGGACACATCAACAACCTGCGTTATTATCCTGATGATACAACCTTGGTTACTGGAAGTGGAGAAGACTTGAAGTCCTTACTACAGAAGATCAAAGAGCATAGCCTTCCATATGGGTTACATCTCAACATCAAGGAAACAGAATTCTCCCCACTGGAACACTAGGCAACATTCCAATAAATGGAGAAAAGACTGAAGTTGTCAATGATTTCTTATTTGGAACCCAAATCAAAACCCCCTGAGTAGCAGCAGTTCCAGAAACCAAAAGCTGCATTGCACGGGGGAAGTCTGCTGTCAAGAACTTCTGAAAAGTGCTAAAGAGCCAGTTTAAAGACTGAGGTGAGCCTGACCCAAGTCAGGATCTTTCCCGTTCTTCCTAGGTATCTGAAGGTGGGCACTGAATATGCACGACAGACACTGAATATGCATGACAGACGAAGAACCAATTCCTCTGAACTGTGGCGCTGGCCAAGAGCCGAGTACGTCATGAATTGCCGAAAGAACCAACCAACCTCAGGGCAGGTGAACGAGAGTGCTTCTTAACAGCAAGGACGGTGAAACGGTCTCACCTGGGGCATATTTTCAGGGGGACCCAGTCCTTCCATTTCTTGGAGAGATATTATACTGCAAGAGATAGAGGGTCAGCAAGGGAGGGGACCCGCCAAGAGATGGCCTGGCACAGTGGCTGCCACTTGGGCCTGAGCAGGACAGAGATCATGAGGTCAGTGCAGGCTGGGATCTCGGCCCTTCAAGTCCTGGGACACCGAGACCTGCTGCATAAATAAACAGCATCAAGGTAACCTGGGCCTTGGGCTCATGCATGTGCCTTCAAAACATGATCAGACCACGAAAACAGTAAGTGACTCTGAAGACAGAAGAGCTCACAGCTGGGCTTACTGCCACAGGTGGGGAGGGACAGACACACAGCCGTGACTGGAAGCCTGCTGGGCAGTTAATCAGATGACTCCGATTCCCTTCTTAACAAAAAACATGCTCTGTTTTCTGAGCCGTTGCCATCAACACACTCCCTGTGTTTCTGACTTTTCCACTCCTTTCTCATTCTGCCCATGACAGTTTTTCTATGGGGGAAATCTCAGAGGAGGGAGATGCAGAGATGACTATCGAGAACTGAACTCTCCTCCCCACATTCACGTAACTTGCCTGGGCCGTGTGATTCTGTGGTTTGGGATGGTCTCTCCTACTCTGATGAACACTCAGTTGAAAAAGGCGTAGTGTAGGACTGAACCTGTTAATCCCGCCACCGTCACTCTCCAGGCTTGTGATGACGGGGACCTGACCGGACAGCTCTGGGTCTCTCCTTGGTGGCTCTCTGCTTCCTTCCATTGGACTACCTTCAGCCGTGGGACCAGCCTCAGCTCTGTCACCTCATAAACAGCTGCAGAGTAACGCTGTCTCCCGGTGCTCATGGGTCCTTTTGTGATTACCACTCAATCTTCTAGAAGCCCCTGGACCTGGGCACCTGTACAATGGGCTACCCAGGAGCCCCTGGGGCCGAGTGGGTGAGGAGTTACACTGACAAAGCAAAGGCAGGTGGTTCGACACCAGGAGCTGCTCCACAAAGGAAGAAGGGCAATCTCCGCCCCTGGGATTCACAGCCTCTGAAAACCCACCGAGAAGCAGCTCGGAGTTGGTCCAACTCAATGGCAGTGAGCTGGAGAGTCTTTTATAAACTGTGAAGACCTAGCCTTTCTATGAAGATGACACTGGAAGCAAAGAGGGAAGCCCCTGCCCCTCCCAAAACTGAGGCCAAAGCAAAGGCGTTAAAGGCCAAGAAGGCGTCCTGAAGGGCATCCACAGCCAAAAGAAGAGAAGATCTGCACGTCACACACCTTCCAACGGCCTAAGATGCTGAGACTTCGAAGGCAGCCCAGATACCCCTGGAAGAGCGCCCCCAAGAGAAACCAGCTTGACCACTATGCCATCATCAAATCTCCCCTGACCAGGGAGTCAGCCATGAAGGAAATAGAAGATAACAACATACTTGTGTTCATGGTGGATATCAAGGCCAATAAGCACCAAGTCAAAGAAGCTCTATGACGTTGACATGGCCAAGGTCAACACTCTGATTAGGCCTGATGGAGAGAAGAAGGCCTGTGTTCGACTTGCTCCTGACTATGATGCTTTGGATGTTGTCAACAAAATTGGGATCATCTAAACTGAGTCCAGATGGCCAATTCTAAATACAAATTTTTCTCACAATAAAAATTTTTTTTAAAAAAAATGTGAAGGCCTAGACACAGGACACTGTACACAGTAAGGTAAGAAAGGATAATGACCTTCGTGTCTCTGAAGATATAAAGATGACAGTTGCTTTATCAACTTTTCATCCTCAGAAAACCAGACCCAAGTGCCATGGGGGTGTCCACACTCCGGTCACTCTCCATCGTGTGCCTGAGGCTGCGGGTCTCCACAAGAGGACATCCGTCTCCCTCCAAAGGCCGACACGCACTCACTCCAGAGCAGTCCCACGGAGAAAAGGGCCTTTCAGGAGCCATACGTGTCCCACGTGAACCCGGCCTCGAGGTGGCGCGACCATGACCTTACAGGACTGCAGAAGTGCCCACTGGTCCCCAATGCTGCCAGTTGTTAGAGAAATGAGCTTTGTTGTGTTTGCTTTCTGCATGGATGGCGTCCTGGAAGTCATCCCACAGGTCAGCCGGTCTCTGGACACTCACATTCAATCCATCAAATCTGTTCTTGAGACGGCTTCTAAATTCAGTTGGATACACTCAAGGTCCTATTTTTGGTTCTTGTGAACTTGTTTTCATTTTTTTTTACCATCCATTTGAACTTAGACATGAGTAACTGACAGTCTTTTCCACAGTGAGCCATGGCCTGGTTTTGGGGTGTTTTTTTGGGGGGGTGTTGGGGTTTTTGTAGCATTTTTTTAATTAATTAATTTTAATGAAAGTTTACAAAGACATTGGATTTCCATTCATTCATTGTTGCACTTTTTTCTCTGCCCAACCTCCCCCCACCACAGTTTGCTCTTCTCTTTGAAAAGTAAAAGAAAAATTCTTTCATTGATATACAATCCCTCCCTCCAAGTCCACTCTACTATGCAGCCTTCATTTTGAAAAGTAAAAGAAATATTCTTTCATTGTTATACAGTCCCTCCCTGAGTCCACTCCACTGTGCAGCCTTCGTTCTGGACTCCTGTCATGACAGTAACTCCTAATCACATATCCCTTTGAAACATGGCCTTGTTTTGACTGCCAGCACTGACCTTCTCTGTAAACTCTTTTCACAGATGTATTTATTCAAAATGATTCTTGCTTAGTCCATCAGGTGAGGACTGTGCATAGTTACCATTTAGGAATTTTTTTAAGAAGGTATTTGCAATGAATAATTCATTCATTGTACAAGATCCTGTTATGCGATCAGTAGCCTCATTTTTATCATCAAGGTCCTATTTTCGACATACCAGCCGTATTGTTACCAATGTCTGCATTCAAGTTGGCAACTTGATTGCATGTTTGATCAATTTCATATTGCAAATGTTGGCAGAAGTCCTCAATGTCTCCTTCTCTGGCTTTAGTGGTTCATGTGTATATTTAAGTAACTGTTGAGTTAACAGGTCTTACTTGTATGTGTTCGGGTAGTACCCTATTATCACAGCACTCACTTAAGGAGAGATCTTGAAATATTCTTTTGACAATGAATGTGACACCATTCCTCTTCACTTTGGCCTCCCTGGCGTAATAGACGGTATGACTGCTGGTTTCAGAATGCCCCATACCCGTGCCTCACCGCTCAGTAATGCCCAGGACCTCAATCTCTATGCATTCCATTGCATTTCTGACAACTTCCAATTGTCCTAGGTTCATACCTCACACACTTCACATTCTAATTATTAACGGATGTTTGCAACTGTTTTTACTCATTTTTTGAGTGGCTTCAACCTGAGCGGCTCAGCTTTTTTACAGAAAGCCTGGGTTTTCATTCATTCGCTGATACACATTTTCCTTCCTGCCCCCTCCCCCAATTCACTTAGTAACGCAGGTCTCGTTCCAGATTAACTGCCTACACACAATGTCTAAACAGCGTCCATTCTCTTCAGATGCCCCCTCACTTCTCCCAGGCAGCCTTGTGTTCCCGTCTACCCATTCTTCCTCTTCCCTGCCCCATACAATCCGTCAGATGTCCCCCCTTCTCCCAGGCAGCCTTGTGTTCCCGTCTACCCATTCTTCCTCTTCCCTGCCCCATACAATCCGTCAGATGCCCCCCTTCTCCCAGGCAGCCTTGTGTTCCCGTCTATCCATTCCTCCTCTTCCCTGTCCCCACACAATCGTCCCTGTCTAACGTGGGAGAGTTGCGAGATGATTACTTTCATACAAGGAGCGCTGGTGGCAGGCTGCGGTCATTGTCAGGTGCCATCAAGTGGACGATGAGGCACGGTGACCCTATGAAGGACAGATCTGAACTGCACCCTGTCCCGCGGCATTCTCACCACCTCTGACCTGCTCGAGGCACACCTGGTAGCACAGTGTATAAAGTATCGAGCTGCTAACAGCAAAGCCAGCAGTTCAGACCCACCTGCCACACCCACCAGGAGAGACGTGGACAGTCTCTGTCCACCAAGATTTACAGCAGTGGGGACTCGAGGGAGGGTCCGGTGAGCTGGAACCGCCTTGCCAGCGGGGGCTCTGGGTCTGAAGAGCTCTGGGGTGCATCCTACAGTCCCGGGATCTGTGAACTGCCTCATTCTGTAGGTGACTAAGAGGAGTCCTGAGGACTGGACCAGCCACCTGGGGGGACGTGGCAGCGACAGAATGAAACAAGGACGCTCAGGCCTTGAGTGCTTGCCAGTTCCCATCACACGAGTCCCGCTGCCTGGGACACAGGATTCATCTGAGACCGCTCCCCCCAGCTCTTGGTGGACTGAATGTCCGATCTGGGAACAAGGACTCATCTGAAACCACTCCCCCCAGCTCTTGGTGGACTGACGTCCAGCCTGGGACACAGGACTCATCTGAGACCGGTCCCCACAGCTCTCGGTGGACTGAACGTCCGGCTGGGACAGAGGACTCATCTGAGACCCCTCCCCACAGTTCTCGGTGGACTGAACCTCTGTCCACACAGCAGGGAGGGGGAAGGTGTCAGGAACTCTTACTTGTTGACCAGCGGGAGACTGAGGGCCCAGCCGGCAGCGAAGTCCGGGTATTTAAACACCGCCGGGTTTTCTGAGAAGGCGTAGTGGTGAATTATCGTTGATTCCTCGTCATGTAGGGCCTTTCCCAGAAACCATTCCTGGAGCACAGAGATAACAGAACGTCAGCGCTGACAAGTCCAAGTTCAGCGAGGCTGAGCAAGACGCTTCGTCACGCTGCTCAGTTTATCGAACTACAATTAAGCTTAATTAAATGAAACTGCATTAACTGAACTAAATTCAACTGGATTTCATTAATTAAAGGAATTAAAATAAATTTAGTTAACAGAATTCAATTAAACTAGATTTCATTAATTAAACTAAATTTATTTAACAGGATTAAACCAGATTTAACTAAACAAAATTTAATTAAAATCTATTAAACGAGGTGATGGAGAATGAGCAGAGATTATTTACAAAGACAGAATAAAAACATAATTAACACTATTATGCTGATAATTAAGGAATCCTGGAGGCACAGCGACTAAGCAGTGGGCTGCGATCTGAAAGGTTAGTGGTTCAAATCCACCAGCTGCTATGAGAAAGATGTGACAATGTCCTCCGGAGGGAGGGTCACCTGTCCTGAGTGAGATGGAAATGTCTCCCACTGAAGACACGAAGGCACAGGCCTTGGCCTGAATGCCCCACGTTCTAGGAGCCCTGCCCATGTGAACGTACAGCACTTCAGCTGCTAACAGGAAGGTCAGCAGTTCAAACCCACCAGCTGTTCCACTGGAAAATGCCTCGTCATCTGCTCCGTCGTATTTCAGCCTAGGGGCACCCCCTGGGGCACCCCACTCTGCTCTACAGAGCTGCTGGGGTTGAGGATCAGCTCCCTCCCTCCTCCTGACATCACGGTCTCATTCCAGATCCGGGTGGGGACATGAAAGCAAGAAGGGTGGGGTCCAGTCCTTAAGAACAGGTCTGTTTATGGTCATACCCCAGATACCTCCCAAGGTCCTCAAAACTCGGCTCACCAACATCAAGAGGCCCACTACTGTTTTCCCAACGATGTAAATCGCATGGGAACAGAATGTTCATCTTTCTCTCTTGGAGTGGGAGAGGGATTCGAACCAATAGAGGCCTGGCTTTTGAATTAACACTGCAACTCCCTCCAGATTAGGCCACCAGAGGTCCTTCCCTGGGTCCTAGCTTGCAAACCCACATGAGATCAAAATAAACAGGTACGACCGTCATGAGCAAGGCTGCGTGTTCAAGTTCAAAGATCTGCTCATTTTCTCCAAGGCTGTCTACCTGCCAGTAGGTTGTCCAGGGCCATGTTGCTGCCCTCAGGTGCCGTCACATCAAGTGCGACTCGCAGTGACCTCCGCACAACAGATCTGAATCCTGCCCTGTCCTGTGCCAGCCTCACCATCTCTGGCACCTGAGCCCACTGTTCCGTCACTGTGTCTGTCCGTCTTATCGAGGGTCTTCCTCTTGTCCACCGACCCTCCACCTTTCTAAGCATGATGTCCCTTTCCGCGGACTGCTTCCTTCTAAAACGTGTCCGTGTGATGACGCTTCTTCATCCTCGTCTCTAAGGAACATCCTGGTTGCCCCATCTCCGAGATACACTTGTGTTTTAAGCAGCCCGTAGATATTCAGAACTGTTCTTCAGCACCACGGCTCAAAAGCATCCATTCTTTTTGTCATCCGCGTTCACTGTCCAGCTTCCAGATGCATCGCAAGCAACTGAAGATTATGTCTTAGACAAGGTGCACCTTAGTCTCTACACTGACGCTGTTACTCCTTAGAACTTTAGAGCGGTCCTTTACAGCAGGTTGTCCCAATGCAACATGTCTTCTGATTTCTTGACTACTGTTCTCAAGAGTGTTGATTCTGGAACCAAGTAAGGTGATAAACTTACAATCTTTTCTCAAGCTTTATAGTGTTGCCTATTGGTCCAGTGGTGAGATTTTTTGTTTTCTTGATACTGAGATGTAATCCATATTGAAAGCTGCAGTCTTTGATCTTCTGCAGCAAGTGTTTTAGGTCTTCCTCACTTTCAACAAGCAGGGTTGTGTCATCTGCGTAACACAGGTTGTTGATGAGTCTGCCTTTGACCCTGATGCCACATTCTTCTTCACAGATTCCAGCTTCTCTAATGATTTGCTAAGCATACATATTAACTAGGTATGGAGGAGGATACACCCTGACACGCATCTTTCTTAATTTTAAACCACAGAGTGTCCCCTTGCTCTGTTCGCTTAACAGCTTCTTGGTCTAGGTATCGATTTTGTAGGAGCACAATTAAGTGTTCTGAGCTTTCCACTCTTTTCAATGTAATAATCCACACAGTCAAATGCCCTTACATAGTCAATAAAGTATAAACAGGCATGGCTTTCTCTGCTTTCTGCCAGGATCCATCTGACAGCAGCAGTGATAACTCCTCGTGCCACGGGCTCTTATAAACCCAGCTTGTTTCTGGCAGTTCTCTATCAATGGACTGTACTGGTAATTTCTGGGTAATATTCAGCAAGACTGTTCTTGCCTGTGATGCATTCAGTATTTCCATTTTCTGTTGGGATGCTCTATTGAGCCATCTTCCAGATTTCCTGGCATAGCCTAGGGAGCAAGGCCAGGGCTGCACCTGTTTGTTGAAATACGTCAATTGGTTTTCCATCAATTCTTGAGGACTTCTTTTGTGCTAATGCCTCTGTTCAAGTGTCTTCACCTGGAGACAGCAAAAGGAGCTCTGGGCATTGAGCGTTGAGCAGCTAAGTTCAAGGCTGGTAGTTTGAACTGACCTTTCTTTGAGAGAAAGATGTGGCAATCTGTTTCTATAAAGGTGGTGGTGGTTGTTATATGCCATTGAATCGACTATAACTCTTAGTGACTCTACACAAGAGCTCTAAACTTTGCCCTATCCTGAGCTAATCTCACTGTCTCTGACACACTTGCCCCCAGTGCCACAGTCAGTATATCAATCCATCTCATCCAGGGTCTTCCTCTCCTGCACTGTCCCTCCACCCTTCCGAGCATGATGTCCTTCTCCAAGGACTGGTCTCTCCTGGCCATATGTCCATAGTATATGAGAAGGAGCTTCAAAATCCTTGCCTCTTCCAAGGAGCAACCTGGTTTCACCCTCTCCAAGACAGATAAGCTTGTCTCTTGGCAATTCTTGAAAATCTTGCAGGGCAGTTCTATTCTATCCTACGGGGCTGCTGTGAGTCAGGTTGGCCTTCAGGGCTATGGGTTTAGGTTTAAGAGGGTTTTTAAAAAAAGGTTTTGGCTATGAGAAACCCAAAAATGCAACATCTTTTAAAAATACAGTGAACATATATAGCTCGTTTTCAAACTGTTAAACGTTAGCCAATCTAAAAATTATTTCATTTAACAAAGCACTGAATTAAAGACAATAAACACCACAGCAATTGTGGCAATACCTAACCACACTGTCTTAGTCCCCTTTCCAAGCAGATGTAGCTAACACGTTAAAGAATTCACTGCTTTCAAGTCATTTATTCATGTTTAAATCAAAGCCAGGTTCCCTTTGTACTTTTTCTCCCCTTCAGGTTTCAAATAGGAGATGAAGGGGAAAACCAAAGTGGTTTGAGTGACTTTCAAAAGAAATGTAGCATGTTGTTGTTGTTGTTTTTTAATGTTGTTTTTGATGTTGTTGGTGGTGATGATGTTTTTGATGTTGTTGATGTTGTTGTTGATGATGTTGTTGATGATGTTGTTGTTGTTGTTGTTGTTGCTGTTGTTGGCTGTGTCCAGTCAATGTCATGCACAGCAATGCCACGTCCAGGACACACTGCCCCATCGCGGGCCTTCCTCACGGCTGCTGTGTCTGCTCCAGTCGCTCTGTCTGTCCACCTGGTTGGGGACTGTCCTCTCTTTCCCTGACCCTCCAGTTGACCAGGCACAATGTCCTCCTCCAAGGACTGGTTCCTTCTAACAACCTGTCAGACAAAATACGTGAGGCCGAGTTTCTCCCTCGTCAATTCTAACGCCATTCTGGCTGAGCTGCTTCTCAGACAGGCTTGTTTGTTCTTCTGGCAGCTGAGTTCAGAAAGAAGGGGCCTGGCCCTCTCCAGGTCACCTCAGCCCTGTGCCTGCTGTTCAGTGCCCGTCTGAACTCCACCCGCACTATTCTGACACTGGCACAGAGTCCCCACCTTCAGTACAGAACTGGAGCCCCGGGATGAAAGCGGTGAGGTGAGGCGAACCCTGCAGAAGGCCGTCAGAAAACCCTCCGGAGTCTGCAAGTCAGAAAGGAACCTCCCACCCCATCAGGTGGTTACTGTAACACAACCCAAAGCACACGGATGCTGGGGCCCTCATCGGAGAAGACGGACGCCACAGGTCACATTCTTCCTTTGCCATGAAAGAATCTTTTTTTATTCTAACCTTCTCATCTAATTTATATCTATCTGTACCTTCCGAGAAATAAAGAGCTTCAGGAGAACCATGACTCTTTCCAGCACTGAAACCTAGTGATTTTCAATATTTAGATTAGGTTTGAAACTGCCGAGTCATGATTGACAGAACCCACCAGTGCCCAGTGTGGCGACCAACCCAAGCTGAAGGGGACAGAGGAGCCCTGGGGGTGCGCGGCAAATGAATTTGGCTGCTCATTCAGAGGCAGGAGGTTTGAACCTCCTGGTCGCTCTGCAGGTCAAAGATGAGGCAGGTCTACTGGAAACCACGTGGGCAGCTGCGAGTCAGAACGGACTCGGTGCAGTGGGTCTGGTTCTGTTAGGAACTGGGCAGGGGTGTCCTGATCAAAGATGGCAGCCAAGCATCCTGCTTCGAGCACAGGGGTGGGTCTGCCCTGCAGCCCGAGTGGGTGCTCCTGCCTGAGTTCAATCAGAGCCACGTTGTCAGACGCTGTGGTGTCAGGTCCGACGCAGAGCGAGCCCGGGCTCAACAGAACAGAATCCTGACCGGTTTACACTGTCCTCTCTTGTCCCCGCTGTGCCGAAGCCCCTGCTGCAGACACTGTGGCAAGCCATCCGGTGAGGGACTCTCTCTGTCTTTCAGTGACCCTCTACTTTCCAAGCACGGTGTCCTTCTACAGGGATAACAGGATCAAAGTATGTGACAAAAAGTTTCACCATCCTTGGTCCAAAGCAGGTTTGTTTATTCTTCGGACAGTCCAAGGTATGTCTCTTCAATACTATTTGCCAGCACCATAATTCAAAGGTATCAATTCTTCCTTAGCCTTCCTCATTCACTGTCTAAATTTCACATGCACATAAAGTAACTGAAAATACCATGGCTTGGATCAGGTGCATTTTGGTCTTTAAAAATGTTGCTCTTCAACATGTTACTGATTTGATTTGCCCAATGCAGTCCTCTGACTTCTCTGATGATGACTGTTATTTTTCACTGTTACACTGTTTCCTCCCCACCCCCAGCCCACTCTGGAATTCACCTCTTGTCCCAAACTGCTGTCATGCATATAATACCTAGTCATAGATTCCTTTCAGACAATTCTTTCCTCCATTTGTTCTACAGTAGTATTCATTATTTACCCACTTTTATCCCATTCTCTCCCCACCCCCATGTCTATTCTATTTTATAACAGCTGTGTTATGCAGTATTTGTCCTTTTGTGACTGAGATATTTCACTCAACATAATGTTCTCCAGGCTCCCTCATGTTGTGAGATGCTTTGCGAATCCAATGTTTTTCAAAGCTGTGTAATATTCTATTGTGTGGATGTACCATCGTTTTTCTGTCCATTCGTTTGTTGATGGGCACTTGTGTTGCTTCCAGCTCGTTGCTATTGTGAATGATGCAGCGATAAACATGGGCGTGCACACACCTGTTTGAGTCATGGCTCTGGTTTTTTTAGGGTCTATTTCCAGTAGTGCAACTGCTGGGTCAAATGGTATTTCTCTTTCCAACTTTTTGAGAAAGCACAACACCACCTTCCACAGTGGTTGTATCATTTCACGCTCCCACGAGCAGTGAATAAGGGTTCCAGTCTCTCCATAACCTTACCGGCACTGTTGTTTGCTGCTCTGCTGCACTTTGCTATCATTGCTGGGGGGAGATGACGTCTCACAGCTGTTCTGTGCCTTGGTTTCTTGACTGCTGCTTCCATGGGTGTTAACTGTGCATCTAAGAAAAATGGTAACCTTGACAACTTCAGTCTCTTCTCCATTTATCATGTTGCTGCTGATTGGCCTAGCTGTGAGAATTTCTGCTTTCTTTATGTTGATACATAATCCATACTGAAGGCTATAATCTTTGTGTTTCATTAATAAACCCTTGGGTCAAAATCTGACACACAAAAGACCTGGCTGCTACACACTACTTTTATTCCACGCATTGTGACTGAGCTATTTCAAACCGGTTCAAAACTTTGATTTAAAGATCATTGAAACTGGTGGTTTTATGACATTAATAGACTCCTGGTGCTTCATTCTAATGATTACTGCTTTCCCATAGTTTGCATCTACATCAAATCATCAAGCAAGTACTATTCATCTGGAATAACAGAGAAAGAAGAAAGTAAAAAACACAGAGTGAACTAGTCAACGGATGAATAGTCCAGAGGAAACTTGGGCACATCTACCCTGAGATCAAAAGAACTAGAGATGGGACCAGGTACCACTGTTACTGTTGTTGGTGTTAGGTGTTGTCAAGTCGTAGACAACTCACAGCAACCCTATGAAGGAAAGGCCTGAGCACTGTTCATAGAGTTTCTGGAGGCAAGTCATTTCAGAAGTGGACGCTGCTCCTGCTTACAGGCTTGTTTTAATCAGGGAGCTCCACCAAACACTGTCCACCATGGGGAACCATTATCGCATTTGGCACATTAGTGTCAGTGTTCAGCATCACTGCAACCACGAGTTACCTCTGTACAGCAATGTACAGACCAGTGCTATACCACTTAGAAGAATGTCTGACAAAAACAATTAAAACCAGACCTGAGGGCCGCAGATTAAAATGGCTACCACTATAACCAATGTCAAGAAGACAAAGATTCTCGCCACTGGACCAATTAGCAGCGTCAGGATGGATGATGAAGAGATTGAGAGTGTTCACAGCTTCACTTTGCTCGGCTCCACAGTCAACACTCTTGGTACCAGCAGTCAGGAAATCAAAAAGCGTATCACGATGGGAAAGTCTGCTGTTAGGGACCTTTCAAAGGTACTCAGAAGCAACAGTGTCTCTCTGGAGACTAAGGTGCGCCTGATACAGGCCATGGTCTTTGCAATCGCTTGTTATGCATCAGAGAGTTGGACAATGCTAGGGAGGACAGAAGGAGAGTGGATGCTTTTGAGCTGTGGTGCTGGAGAAGGGTACTGAATGTACCATGGACTGCCAGGAAAACAAACAGATTCATCTTGGAGAGGATTAAACCAAGCTACTCCTTGGAGGCAAGGATTCTGGGGCTTCGTCTGACATACTTTGGACATGTTGCCAGGAGGGACGGGTCCTTGGAGAGGGACATCATGCTTGGGAGGGTGGAGGGACAGCGCAGGAGGGGAAGACCCTCTATGAGATGGATTGATTCGGTGACTGGGGTAATCGGGATGGGTGTGTCAGAGGCGGTGCTGTTGACGCAGGATAGAGCAGGGTTTAGGGCTGTTGTGCATAGGGTCGCTATGAGTCGGAAACGACTCGACGGCACATAACAACAACAACAACCACTATAACTATTATTATTATCCATCTTCTTAATTTGAGCTAATCTTTTTCTTTATAAGAGTAGCAATAACAATATTTTTTTAAATTGAGATTTGAGTGAGTTTAAAAAGAAAACTTATTTTCCAGTCAACTATTCATACACATTTGCTTTGTAACATTACCTAGCATTTCCACACGGTAACTGCCCTGCTCCACTTCCTCCCTATAACTCTCAATTCCATTCGTCCCCTAGCTTCTCTTTCTTGACTTCAGGGCTTTACCTTTGAGTAAATCTGCTTTTCTGACCTTAAGTGGTTGGTTATTCTAAGAAGTAAGTGCCTCTTCATTGGGGTGACCAGCCACTGTAAAAAGTAAATATTCTTGTAAAAGGTAAATATTCTTGACAGAGTGGGGGAAATGTGGAACAAAACTCAAAAGCACATAAAAGGCCAGGCTACCCGGTTCAAAATAGAGTAGTCGTGCCAACTATTCTGATCAGGACCAGAAAAGATGCGACCCAGACAGAATGAGAGAAAGCTGTGGAACAAAACCTCAAACGCCTAAAAAGTTACAAAACCCAACTGGACAGTAGTGGTAGCCAGGCCCCATTTGGTTTCTTCCCGTCCCAGGGCCACGGAGGCTGTGGCTGTGGGCTCTACTGGACTAACTGGGGAATTGCTTTGTACTGAAACGGTCCTTCCTTCCCACCTGCTGTTAAGAGACCCATGTGGGTCTTCCACAGACTCTGAAGCAGATACACGCAACAAATATTCGTTACGTAAAACAATCTGTAGTCTCTATTATGAGAAATAACCAACTTAATCACATTTCTAATGTGAACTGTTTCTGAATTACATACTATAAATTTTTAACTCTCCATAACAGTTATCACATAGAAATAGATTTTTCTTTTCTTTAAAAATGGCCTGTTATAAAAGCTCCATAAGCTGTAAACCTCAGAGAGTTATTGGATTCAGAGCCATTTGCACGAGAAGAGTTATAACACAGCCTCCAGATACGCAACTATTATTTCACCCTTTTTAATGACTCACAATTTCAAAGGGCTTTTATTAGCTTCAAATACCACTGAAAGAAAATTAACTCTCTTTTCAGCATTTCTTACAAAGGGTAAACGCTGGTATTGCAATTTTACTTCACCTTAGATGGGTCATATCTTCTGAGCATTTCTAAGAGTTTGGGAATTTGTATTCTTGTCTCTTCTTCACAGAAGAAAATCCATGATGAATTTCTGCTATACGTTACAGAAAAGCTGACAAAAAAGAAACGAGTTATAATAATCAGCTCTGTGACATGACTTTGTAATATGGTCTAAAACTTCCAAGTAGAAAACGATGAAAGGCATACAAAATGGCAAGATATGGGACTTCTGTCCCCCTCACGCTTCTCCTTCATTTACGTGTTTCCATTTACAGGAAGGTCAAGTGTTAAAGCTTTATCAAACAGCGGGACTGACTTAAAATTCATTCGCTCTCTAATAAGAGCAGTTCAAAACACAGACAATTTTCAAATACCAACTTGAAGCACTTGCACTAACCTTTGAAAAAGGATATTTTTAAAATATGGGGTAGTGATGGGCAAGGTCCAGTGGTGATTAATTTTATAGAACATAATGCATGGGAATGATCGTATGAAACACAATATGAACCAAGAAAAGAGAAAAAAAACAAAGTGGAAAAGAAAAAAAAAGAAAGTTATTCGCTTACTAGTTTAAATCATAAAGAAAGTTGGTAAAAATGTCATCAGGTCAATCTGAACTCTTGGCAACCCTGCAGGACAGAGCGGAACTGCCCCTGAGGCTTCAGAAACTGTAAGTCTTAGCAGGAGCAGAAAGCCTCACCTGCAGAGGGGCCACAGGGTTCAAAGTAAACAGCTCAATGCTCAACCCACTGCACCACGAGGGCTCCTACGGTGACTGTGCTCATAATAAACAAAGCTCGAATTATTTTATTTACGAAATCAGAAGACAAATACATTGTCCTAACAGAAAAGCCAAGCAGCATGGTAGTAAGATTTCAGGAATGCCAACCGTGTGTGTCCCTGGAAAGTGAACGTACTGTGGTAACAGCGGTAGAATGGTCCATGCGCCTTCTAGCTTTCCCAGCTGATGGAGAAGGGCAACGCTGGGGTAGTCCTGAAAGAAAGACAAAGTTTAAAACTCAAAACCATGTTGTTGTTGTTGTTAGGTGCTGTGGCATGTAACTCATAGTGACCACAACAGATCTGCACCTGTGCCAGTCTCAGTGTCTCTGACACCTGAGCCCTTTGCTGCAGTCACTGGGTCAAGTTCATCCAGTTGAGGGTCTTTCTCTCGCTTGCTGACCATTCATCTTCCGAGCAAGAAGTCCCTTTCCAAGGAATCGTCTCTCCTAGCAACAGCCCGACGGATGTGAGAAGGAGCACGTGGGCTGCACTCTTCCAAGCAAGCAAGCTAAGTAGACTGCTAGAGAGAGACAGAGACGCCTCATCTGTCCCCTGCAGAGCGGCCAGTGGGTTCAAAGCACCAACCTTTCAGTAAGCAGCTCAATGTTTAACCCACTACGCCACAAGGGCTCCTATGGTGATTGTGGTCATGATAATTAAAGCTTAAATTACTTTATTTACGAGCACAGAAGACAAATACATTGTCCTAACAAAAGCCAAGTAGCATGGAAGTAAGATTTCAGGAATGTCAGCCGTGTGTGTGTATATGTGTATATATGTGGAATATATAATGTTGTTGCTGTTGTTGTTATGTGCCATCAAGTTGCTTGCGACTCATAGCGACCCTATGTACAAAAGCCCTAAACACCGTTCCATCCTGTGCCAACCTCGCCGTCTCAAACACACTCATTCCCACCACTCCACTCACAGAATCGAGCCATCTCATCGAGGATCTTCCTCTCCTGCGCCGCCCCTCTTTCTGCCAAACATGATGTCCCTCTCCAAGGACCAGTCCCTCCTTGCAACATGGCCAAAGTATGTCAGACAAAGCTTCAGAATCCTTGACTCCAAGGAACATTCTTCCTTCACCCTCTCCAGGACAAACCTGTTTGTTCTCCTAGCAGTCCATGATATATTCAACATTCTTCTCCAGCACCACAGTTCAAAGCCATCAAATACATAATTAAAATATGTAACATGTAAATATTAGAAATGTGTATGTATTTCTAACATCGTAGATGTTACCTGGGGATTGAAGCACTGCTCCATGTGGAGAGGAACCAACCCAGAGGCAGTAAATTGCAAAGGAGGAGCTGGTGGATTTGAACACATGCCTTCGGGACTACAGTGCAGCTTCTTGCTACTAGGCCATCTGTGTGTGTGGGGGGGGGCAATCTCCTCCTGTGCCTCTGAAAACCTGCTGAAGGTTAAGCTATGTGTTGGCTCTGACTTGATGGCACACAACAACAACAATATATATAAATACACATATATCAGGAAATTAAAAGGCGCATTGCCATGGGAAAGTCTGCTCTTAGGGACCTCTCCAAAATACTGAAGAACAATGGAGTCTCTCTGGAGACTAAGGTGCATCTCATACAGGCCATGGTCTTCACAATCACTTGTTATGCATCAGAGAGTTGGACAATGACCAAGGAGGATAGAAGGAGAATTGATGCCTTTGAGCTGTGATGCTGGAGAAGAGTATTGAGAATACCACGGACTGCTAGGAAAACAAATAGATTCATCCTGGAAAGGGTTAAACTGGGTGGCTCCTTGGAGGCAAGGATTCTGAGGCTCCATCTAACATACTTTGGACATGTTGTGAGGAGAGACCGGTCCTTGGAGAAGGACATCATGCTTGGGAGGGTGGAGGGACAGTGCAGGAGGGGAAGGCCCTCTATGAGGTGGATTGATTCAGTGACTGGGATAATTGGGATGGGAGTGTCGGAGACAGTGCGATTGGCACAGGACAGAGCGGAGTTTAGGGCTGTTGTACATAGGGTCGCTATGAGTCGCAAGCGACTCGACGGCACATAACAACAATAACAACAGATAAAAACCACAGAGATACAAACACAAGATGGCTGCATGCATTTTAAAAACAGGTCTAAAACAGTGGTTAGGCGTCACTGCGTCAGCCCGAGCTCACGGTGACAGAGCCGACTTCCCGGATGGTCTCCTAAGCTGTGTGTCAGCGTTACAGGCGCAGCTGGCTAAGCTCTGTCCCCATGAAGAGACTTGGGCTCAAACTGCCAACCTTTTGGTTGGCCCTCAAGGGTTGAACTGAAAAGACAATGCTTGCAGGCAACCCCCGGCAACCCCTCCAACCCTGAACTGTTCCCACCTCAGGACGTCCGAGGCCCTGCACCTGAGGATACGGTCTGACTGGATACAGGGTTTTCCTTCCTTACGTCAATGGAGTCATGCAGGAATGGGGTGGCCGTCTCCTGCTGGTGGCCGTGGGGCGAGGAACGGATCCCGGCTCACAGCGACCCCACCTGGAGGAGCAGAACTGCCCCACGGGGCTTCCTGGGCTGTCACCTGACAGGCAGCCTCACAGACCTTCCTGCCTGTAGCAGCTGGTGGGTCTGAACCACTGACCTTCTGGCTGGGACAGGGTGCAGACCTGTCACTCATAGGGTCACTACGAGTCCTACTGACTGGATGGCACCTAACACAGTGTGCTCTGAGTTGATACAAAGTCTCAGAAAGTTTGCATCTAACATGCCTTCACTTCACCCTGCAACAAACCACAGTACCCACTGGGCTGTTTATCTACACAGGAGTATCCTCTTAACAGCTACGAGTAAAAGGACTTACTAACAAATCCATAACTGAAATATTCCTGTTCTTAACAGGCTACAAGTTCATATAATTTTTTTAATCTTCTTTTAATAATTTTAATGAACATTTACAGAGATTTTGTATTTCCATTCATTCACTGTTGCACTTTTCTCCCTGACCAGCCCTTCCCCCCCCCCCACCCCCCCCCCCCCCCCCCCCCCCCCCCCCCCCCCAGTTTGCTCCTCTCTTTGAAAAAGTAAAAGAAAAATTCTTTGTTTGGTATACAATCCCCCCGCACCCCTCCCACCACCCCGAGTACACTCCACTATGCACCCTTAATTCTGGACTCTTGTGATAACTATAATACCCTATCATATATCACTTTTAAATTCTTCTCTCCCTCATCTGTTTCAATGCAGCATACAAAATTTTTTAAGAAGATAATGTTGAAAATTTTTTTGTGACTCATGTCAAAGTTTAAGAAGTAAATTAATTTTCCAATCCACGATTCACACACATCTGTCTGGATAACATCACTGCCCACAAGTCCCACATCCTCTGTCCACTCCCTCCCTCCGTGTCTTGCGTCCACTGGCCCATCTTTTCCTCCTCCTTCCTGCCTTCTGGCTTTGCAGTGTCCTATAGAGTCATAACCGGCCCTCAGCTGAACCCTCCAGTGGGTTTTCAGAGGCAGTTAATCGCACGGGAGGAGATCACCCGTCCTCCTGCGGAGCAGCTGGTGGATTTGAACCATCTACCTCTGCGCTGCAGTTTGCCTGGGCAAATGCAGCCTGTTTTACCTTGCGTGGCAGATTGCTGTAGGGACTGAGTGCCTCCTGGTGTAATCGGTCACCTTACACGTCTCTCTACGGTCAGGCTTGGGAGCTCTGGGGCCACAGTGGGAAGGAGCTACGCTGTCAACCCAAAGGCATGTGGTTCAGACAGGCAGTCTCCTCCCATGCAATTTACTGCCTCTAAAAACCCACTGCGGGGCAGCTGGGGGCGGGGTTCGACTTGGCAGTACACAACAACAGCAACACTGCTTGGCCTGGAGCTGGGCCACAGGGCAGAGGCCCGTTCCCAGCCTGAAGGGGCCTGAGGACCAGCACCTCAGGGGCGACGGGCTCCACCAGACTACAGCTGACCACAGAATCTGGTCTTGTTTTATCATTTTGAGGTTTCACATTTTCACCTAGAAAAGAATGGCGTTTTTTAACTGTAAGCCTCTGGCACGGGCAGTCAAAAAGTCTCCTTTCTTTAATTTAGGAAAGGTTCATTTCCCATGTCCTGTACAAAAATGAAATGAGACATCAACAATGAAGGCTTAAGCAGAATAGCACAGCGTGTGAGAAAGGGTGTAGAGAGAGGCTGAAGGGGTTAACCAGGGCGGCGTGAGAAAGGTGTAGAGAAAGACTCCCGGGGGTTAACCAGGACAGTACGGGAAAGGGTGTAGAGAGAGGCTGAAGGGGTTAACCAGGGCGGCGTGGGACACGTCGTGCACGGCTGCCCACAGTGGCTGCGGAACTAGACAGCCACTGTCACTGGCTTTTCAATATCTCTATGCACATACACACACACACATACACACACGATTTTTTATTCTTGAGGGCAAAAGAGCACGTGTAAAGAAAATGAACGTCATTACTATTTGCATAAAACTTTGACATAATTATGCGTGAGCGCTAATGTGATCGAGATTGCAAAAGAACAGCAAACACAAAAGAAAAGCTTTTTCTAAAAAAGCATCTGATGAGCAATTAGATGGCAATTGAAACTATAAAAAGAAAGACTTTAGAAGAAAGAAAATGTCTCTATGTTAAACAAGGGGGAAAAGACATCAACATTATTCCAATTATTTAGAGAAAAAACTAACCATAGATGGAGAGAGAATGGAAGGGAACTCAGAAATAAATAAAACAATGCTGTGTCCAGAAGGCAGGATCCCGAGGTAAGAGCCCCGGAACCTTGTTATGCAGCCACCGCGTGCTGTCACGACCGTGCACAGTCCATTCTGACCATGAGCCGCGGGACAGGGTGGGACTGCCCCCAAGGCTCCCAGGCCACGCTTTACAGGAGCCGGTCACCAGGACAATAGAAAGGGCAGCCATGCCCCTCAGAGGTGAGGGTGGTGGAGCCGCACCTCACACACTTCGGGCATGTTGCTGGGAGAGGCCGATCCTTGGAAACGGACATCATGGAAAGGCGGAGGGTCGGTAAAAGGGAGAAAGGCCCTGAGTGAGCTGGACCGACACGGTGACGGTAACAACGGGCTCAAGGGTATGAGAAATTCCGAGGATGCACATCCCTGGTTCATGGGGTCACTGAGTCACAGCTGACCCAACAGCACATCACAACAGCTAAACAAAGCTCTGCCAAACAAAACAAGGGAACAGGTCTTGAATGAGCACATTTAAGGATCCGGGG